GAAGACCACACGTTTTCCACTGCTATTGTAAAGCTACCCTGAAACTCACACGATGAAAAACAGGATGTAAATAAGTACATTAATAAAATAAGGTAAAAAAGATTTTGACTTGCCACAAAAGTGATTACTAGAATAATTGGCATTATGCATTTCAGTAACCTATGAAGTGATAATTCAGGTGGCTCTCATGTTCCTACTTCCCTTCTGCTTGAAGACAGCAGCAAAGTGAAGTGAGCACATTCTGAATTAACTGTTAGAGAGTGTGGGTTTTCATAATGGCCTTCAAACCCATCCAACTGGAAAATAACTTGGGAAATGGGAATGTATATATACTTTACAGTGGAGTGTGTAACTTTTATTCCTGAATGACCTAGTCAATGAAAATGTCGCAACGGCAGAGGCAATCATAAGGCTTTGCCTCTTGATTTGTTCATTTGGAGCAGAAGGCAGGCAAAGTTTTGAATCATTTGCACAGTTCCAGGAGATTAGCCATGTAAAATCTGTTATAGCAACAACAACAACAACAACAACAAAACCCCTGTGCTGTTCTATACCTTCAACATTAACAAAACATGGTGTAACATGGTGTCCTGCAACAGCAGGGGAGTTGGGCTTGATGGCTTCATGGCCCCTTCCATCTGTTCTGTGATCCTATGATTCTATGGCTAGTTGTAGTCCAACATGGTTTCAAGTCACGATACAAAGGCTAGGATGAGGGAACAGGCCTTCACATCCCCAGTTTTGGGTTAGGAAAACTATCCAAACACCTTTTACTTTAATCCCATGCCACTTTGTTTAGGTGCGACACATAGGATGATCATTTCACACTTTGAGGGTTCCAGGCTTGATGCCTGTGACATGTACCACTTGGGCACCATCAGGGATGTGTAGAAGAGGGTATGTGATAAGAGAAGGGGCTCCAGGGGTAACATGAGGAAGGACCACAGAACAGGTAAGAAGTCAGGAAGGGGAGGGAGGCTGCATAAGTAAAGTATGGCAGCTAGAACAGATGTCTCTGATTCGTACTTGGCCTCAGCCATGTGCTAACCACATGGCCTTAGGCAAGCCATTGACTGAGTTCAGGCAACACAACAGCCCGCACAAGGGTTGAGTAGGTTATTAAACCACTGATAGTTGTTGAAATGTGGGTTATCAAGCTATCATGGCTGTGAATAATCCACAGTTCATGACCTGACCACAAACTATGGGTGGATCACAGTCAAGCCATGGCCTATGTTTCAACAGCAGTCCCTGGTTCAGTGACAACCCATACTTAACCCTTGGGTGTGGGTGAGTTTGTTGTCCAAAGCCAGTCACTGATGGAAAAAAAAGCACTAGATCCAACTGCTGCCTTCCAGATTTTTGAAATACAACTCATATAAGCCTCAACCACCAAGGCCAGGGTCAGGGATTATGGGCGCTGCAGTTCGAAGTATTCGAGAGGCAGCAAGTGGCCTACTCTTGCTCTGTACCTTGAGCCCAGGGTTTTTCTTTAGGATTGGAAAATTTGTAATGAGGCAAGAGCTGAACTATATGAAGGACTAACAATCGCATGCACCACGTTTGGATAGGGCTAGCAAGGTAATTGGTTAGTTCTGTAGGCAGGTCTGAGGACTGATGATAAGATGGAAGGAGGAGGGAAGGCTGCTCCTTACAAAGGGAAGAGGAATGTAAGGTTTGCCCAGGGAGAGGAGGCATGTAGATGCTTGCCTGGTGGAAACATGGGGAAGAGGGATGGCGGGGCTGAGAGAGTTAAGGAGAAGGGAAAGGTTGGTGTTCAGATGCACGTTTTCCAGTGTGAGGTGGGATTCTTCTTTAGGGGGGTCTGCTGTGCTGCCATGGATCCTGTCCAGCCATTCTGAAAACATTTAGTGACTTGTGACATCTAATTTGTAGCCTACTGATTTGCTATATAGTTTCACTTTGTGTTAGCTGTAACAATCTTTTAATCAATTTGTTTTTATGTCTATTTTAACTTAAGTTCAGTTTGAACTTGGTTTTTGTTGCTGTTAGATGCCTTGAGCACCATTTTGTTTGGTGGAAAGGCTGAGTAGTAATCAAATAAACACGTATCTCTACTGTAATTTTATTGCTGCGCACTGCCTGTATACATTGCATAGTACCATTTTGCATAATTTAATAAAATGAACATGAGAAACACAGATGTAAGGAACTGTGTGGTGGGCTGCCTCTACGTGATCGCGGACTCCTGATGTTGCTAAACGGAGCAGCACCGGGACTTGAGTGATGCTACACCATCGGCTGGGCCCCGCAGCGTTTCATAGCAACACCCTGTCTCCCTTTCTGGGTGCAGGCTATCAGCTTGACTCCATTTACACTGCCTTTTTGGCAACATCTACATTCCTCCCATGGGAGAGGGATAGAAAGCTTTCAGGACTCCCTAACACTGGGGACTGGGTCACCCCAAGAATTGAAAGCCTTGTTCCTCATCCTTTTGCCTCTCCTTCCTCTATGCTGAAATGAAGCTCTGTCAGAAAATAGGGTCCCAGCTTTGCTTTCTTGAAAAGTAGAGGACTGTCAGTAATTGAATCTAGGTTGTTAAAAATTCATACGAGCTTTTTGCTATGAAGTCCTTTAGTCAGGTGAAAAGTGTGCTAGAAGAGGAGAAGCCATGGATGTCAGAAGCAGGGGTGGTGTATGTCATATCTTAGAGAACTTGTGGGCTTCTGTGTTGCAATGGAAGCATTCTGGGGAGATGTTCACATATGTTTTATTCACTGTGAATATGAAGGAAGGACAAGCCATTTATGGCAGCTGCAAAGAGAGAATCCAATAAAAGGCCATACAGCATTTGCCAAATGTTGCCAAAGCCTTCTTTATATTATAAGCCTGGTGCTCTCACAGACTTTTCATCATACAAGTAGATCAGAATCTGAAGGTGCATTCAGGGTAGGACTATTCTGAATGCTTGCAAGATTTGCATTTGTGTGCAAAAGCTGTGATTTCTTTTAAGATGGATTTATAAGCGTTCCACCGGAAATTATTTCCAAGTAAAGGTCTGAATTTGTTCATGTATAACATTTAAACTACAGCATGCACTTGATTGATTGCTTTTTCTAATCAAATATTTTAGTTCACCTGCTTCTAGCTATTCCAAAACCTTCTTGGATATTTAGATAGTGTGGAAAATTAATGTGGCATGCTTTTCTTTGCTCAATAACTTAAATGTTCCAAAAGATCTCCAGCAGCTAAGAACAGCTGATATTTTTCAAATTCAAAAACTTTCAGAAAAGCCTACATCATTGTAACCTATTTCGCTGCCCCTGATCTAAATTTCGTTGCTCAGTCTGGTCAACCTTTGCACCTAAAACTGAAAAATACGACTGTAGAGCCAAGACGATAATAGGTATGCCCTGGGAAACAGCTCCATTCCCTGAACTAGATTTCTTTTACTGATAGTTCCCTCTTTATTTTCACAACCACAAGGCTTAGAAACATGGTGGCTCTTTCCTGACTTTCACGCTGCCTAAACCAAATTCCAAATGGAATTCCTTTGGATATGATACTTAATTCTAGAAAATGAACAGCCCTTTGTTGGCTCTCTCAATGGACTTGGGGCGGATTGTTTTGAAGATGCCTGCTGCCCCTTTGCATTTTTGTATGTATGAATGCTTCACAAATGATGCAGCCTGTCGGGTATTCCAGGAGACTCTCCTGCTCTCTTGTTTGCCTCAATGCATGGTGCTGAAATGTGTCAAAACAGCCTCGAGAGCACTTTATGTCAAACAAATTCAGCAAGAGGTAAAAAATTATCAGTTAGCAGTCTCCAAGCAGATACTGTGTGAAGTTGCCTTATTTGCCCCAAGGGCTACACTTCTGGGTTGGGTATTGGTGTTGTATATGTGCACACCCCAGGATACCGTTCAAGTGGTATGTGAGGGAGCTTGGAAAATGCCTCGAAAAGGGTAGCCTTTTTCTGAAAGAAGGTGGAAGTACATGTCTTCCTTTTTCCAGGCAAACCAAGGTCTGTCAACCTTCTCTTCACGTAAATTTAACGCAGGTGTGTCTGCTTTCTGAATCTGCAACCTGAAGGAGGAAATAAAACAAATCCGTGGGATTTCCCTTTTGAGTATAAACAGTTAACCTGAGCATCAAGGCTAAATCCTGCTGGCAGAAAGCATCTTTTATTCAGACAGCTGGAAGAACAGGCCTTATATAATTCCTACAAGTGTTGCCATCTCCTTGGGTGATAGTCTGCATGCTGTTAGTCAATAGTTTTTCAGCAGACAAAATTTGCAACAGGGACGAGGCATACATATATGAGAGCACATCTATGGGAAGTGTTTTATTGGCTTGACTGTGATTTGCTAGAAAGTTAAGCAGTGTGGAATATGATTTGGAACCGGTAGCAGTCATGAAATGGGTGCTCACCAATAGTTTAAATGCTACAGGTTGAGCCAGCAATGTAAACAGTTGAATAGAGTGGCTAAGATAAGACACAGTGCAGAAAGTGCTCAGTTCAAATTCTCCTCTTGCCATGACCTCAGCAGGCAGCTTCACCTTCTCTGAATCTTACCACAGCCTAACTTACAGGGTTGTGGTGGAAATTTATCAATGGACCATTACATAAAATGTATACAATTTTGCATTTATATTGTACTTTTGGTATGTCTAACCTTTTCAGGTTTAAAATCAGAGGGTATACAGATTTGGAGACTTTGTAAGGAAACGGAGGATGGTACAAGGAAACCCACATAGGATGGAGTTTTAAATACTTCCATTTTCCTCACCCCTTCTGGCTTCACGGTCCTGATGGAAACATTTCTAAAATATTTTTCCACAACCCCGAAGGCTGGAAATTCTGTACTTTTGAAATGAAAAGCTTCATTTCCATCAGTTATTCCATGCTCTATGGTACTACTTGTAGCCATGTAGATTATAATATCCTCTGGGATGCTTTCCCTGTTCCATAGCACACTGCCTCCATTCTTGACTGATTTCTTGTTCTGACACCCTCTGTGCTTTCTTTTCCTTTGCAGGAAGCTACTTTGCTAGTCATTTCATCATGGGAGGCGAGAAGTTTGATTCTACACACCCTGAGGGGTACCTCTTTGGCGAGAACAGCGACCTCAACTTCCTTGGGAACAGACCTGTAGCGGTAATATAATAAAGTTGGATTTGTAGCTGTGGAGGACAGTGGTGGAAGATAATGCAGCAATGAAACATAAATGTTCCTTTTTAGAAATTTGGATTCTGTGTTGTGGACTTGGTGTTGTTTGAATGTAACCCTCTTCTTGCTTAATGCCCAGTTCCCAGCAGAGTTCCCAGATGTAACGTGTGCCTTCCATGATAGGAAGACATTTTATATTGGGCCTATTTCTGAATCCATTTCATGAACTGAATGGTACGATAAGGGTTGTAAAGTATCCCGATAGCCCTTCATGACTCTTAAACCTAGCAGAGAGCACTCATTGCTTTCTCAACAGCAGCAAAGATTTCAGAAGTGATAAGATGGTGTCCAGTTGGTGACATATGCTACTGACTTGAGCAGTTGCCAAGTGTGAATTGGCAGCTGTCCAGAAATATAAGAATCGCTATAACTCATTTCTCTGGGGATCTGGGCGTCAGTATTAGGGCTTTTATGGGGAGAGTGAGGACTTGATAGCTGGCTGAAGCATCTCTCAGTCGCATTTATCCTTTATAAGATAATCCTACAGTACAGGAGGGAGAGCGGTGCTTCAGGGAGGATTGCCTTCTTGCTGCAGTAGAGGGCGGGCAGAGTGTGTATATACTTGCTTGCTCCTTTCCTGGAACAAGGCAATGTGCTCTTTAAAGCTATCGGGGGAGGGCATGCACATTTACAAATAAACAAACTGCTCTTAAAGAGAGAGCAGCAACCCTTCCATGTTGGAATGTGCGTCGGTTCTGTGTGTACATTTGTAGACAAGGACTGGCGCTTGTTGTTTTTGCATATAGCGGTAGGTTCTTTTGACAGACCTGTGAATATCCTCAGGAGATACCAGTATCTGGTCCTCTTCATTTCTGTGAATTGATGAGTCTGACAGAGACTGTCCTCATTCAAATAATCTGCTGATTCATAGAACTGGTTCTTTAGCATGTCCTACCCTCACTCGCAATATCCCTCCATAACTGGGTTGATGCAGCTCCTGGGACTTGCGATCACAAAGGTGCATTCCTCATTCTGCAGCTTGATTTTAAAAGAATCTGGGGCAGAGTGTAGCAGTTCGGCTATCCCTGTCCAGCTCTACCTCCATCATGCTGAGTCTAAGTTGATAATCCTTGGCCTCTTATCTACTGTTTGGAAGAGAAGCCTGACACTTTGATGCAGAATATTCTGGACAAGCTTTCATTCTTTCCCCCACCCCTTCATTCTTCCATTGGGTCTGTGTGTCTGGATTTGTTTATTTAAAGAGCAGCAATGAAATATCCATGGTCCCATCTCTCAAGCTAGGGCTTGCTTTATTGCCTGTTAGCTCAGCAAAGCGTTAAATGTCAGACACGTTTGCAGACCTCCGGGATGGGCAAGATGTTAATTATAGTCGGAGGGCCTTTTCTCCATCTTCCCTGCCACATTTGAAACATTGTGCTTTGTATGGAATGAGAAAATGAAGGATGGGTTTCCACAGAACTTCTTTCCAAATCACAGAATAAGAAATGTTAAAAAATCAGTGTCTGTGCAGGACTGGGGGAAGCTGAGGCAGAGAGATGCAGCATTTCTTCCCATGGTCAACCTGAGGGCAATGCCATTGCTATTCACCTCCACCTTCTGGCATTATTTGATCTCTTGCTCCAGGACCATGCTATGTATCTTCTTTTATTTGTGCCCCCCTATTCCTTCCATTTCATTATGTTGCCCATTGATTGCCCTGACCTTGTGGAATACTGAAGCCTTCTTTTTTGTAGTAGTGAAATGGCTATTGGAGGCCACACCCACACAGCCTCTCAGTCCACTCCTTCTCTAACTATATTTGAGCAATGCCTTTATCAGGCCAACTAAAGGCTGGAAAACAGCATGCAAGCTTTCTCCAGGTGACTTCATCAGGAAAAAGTGGTAGAGAAAGCAAAAGTCAGGGAGCTGTTTCCAGATGAAACTTTTATCTCTGCATCACCCTGTTTCGTTCTCAGAACTTTTCAGGGGGTCCAAATGTCTTTGTCTCATTGCTCTCCCGTGTTCTCCTGCCACTACTTCTGTCTGTTTTACCGCAGAAAGTCCATTAAAGTAGAAGAGACCGAATAGCTGCACAATACCTTCTGATGGTTAGTGCTAGACTTTGTCTGGAATCACACTGCAACTAGTCACATTCTTAAGATGAAAAGCAGGAGGAGGATGCATTTATTCAGATGAGGGTGTCTGTCGGGGGCTGAGATGCTATCAGGCTGTACCTGGGACTCTCCCAAGGGCTGCTGAGATGGAGGAACAAGCATCAAGGAGACAGGCAGGGAGACAGGTTGACCTGACCTCTGTCAGGCACCTTTCCTTGTTTCTGTTCTAAATGTCCCCCAGTGTGTAGTACATTCCAGTGATTCATCTCAACACACCCCAAGGCAGAGGTTTAAATGATTTTCTCCGGCTCTAATGGCCAGCATCAACAATGCTAAGGTTGCAAGTGTGCATCCTATCAACCCCCTCATGCAAATGCTTCTTGGTAGGAGCGGATTGGCGTTGACCTTTGTGGACTGACAGAAGGGTTAGAAAAGAAGAAAAGGACCAGACTGTAAGAGCAGCAACCCTGCTGGATCAGACCAAAGGTCTGTCTAATCCTTCTTCCCGTGTCCTACAGGAGTGAGCAGCCTGCAGCTGGGCAGGAAGGCAGTTGCTCTCCCTTGATGTCTGCCCCTCACCCGTCCCACAAGATCTAGTATTTGGAGGAATTCTGCCTCTGAGCCTGAATGCTCCTACTTAGCGATCATGACTAATACCCACTGATAGAGCAGTCTGTCATGGCTCAGTCTCCTCCTCTCCAGGCAGAGTGAGGGCTCCTTCATAGCTGGTGCATGACTAAGAATCCCTTCGCCCAAGAGCCACAGATCCTCATAAAAGGAGGTATAAATTATAACATTTCAGTGGACCTGCTCTAAGTAGAACTAGCATTGCATTCAGCCCTAACAAAAGCTATGTCCAAGTTACATCACTTGAATGAAAGACATCACAGCACACACAGGTTCCTTCACTGAGTCATCAGGTGACAGAATCAATGCAAGAAATGGCAGGCTCAGATATTGGTCCTTCTCCACAGCTCCTAGAAGAGGCCAAGCCGCATCTCCACAACTGCACATCTTCAGGCTTTGGGGCAGGAGTCCAGGAATCCACTCAGCAAGATTGAGCAGAAGGACCAATAAACGTACAAGTGCTGACTTGCCACGTCTGAAACAAGGGAAGAAATGGATCTTGTCATCTAAGCAGGCCCTCCCCAGCACAGCCGTCACATCCAGGCTCTAAAATTGCTAAGCTGCACCACTGCACTTGTTTTTTGCCTACCCTGAATCTACTGCCAATCTTCTTTCACTGGGTGACCCTAAGTACCAGTATTTTGAGAGATGGAGGGGGAAAAATATCTTTTTCTCACACACCATGTGATTTTTTTTTTTTTACAGATCTTTTATCCTGCCCCTCAAGGCAGTCTCACGCTCCACAAAACAACTAAAAAGCCACAAATGCTTCAGCTTTTCCTCATAGGAAATCAGATCCAGCTCCTTAGTTATTCTGATTATCCAATTTTTCTTATACACTGAAAATACCAAAGGGGGAAAAAAGAAAAAGAAATATAACTACAAATCATATTAACCTCAATACAGACCAGCTTAGGCAAATATGTTTACATTACATTTAAATAAATTTTACTTCAGAGTTAATATATTCAGCACAGTAATTCTGTACTGCGTTGATTTTAGCACTGAATAAATGGAATCCATTTTATGGGTATTGGGGCGGGTACAACCTGATTTTTCCTTCTTATCTGTGTTTATAATGTGTAATTCTGTTCACAAGTGTGGTAACCCATATTCTTATTCAGCCATGTTTGAAAGATGGAAGTTGACTTGTTCTCTATGCATTTGCTTATACGAAAGAACATCAGAGTCCTGCTGGATGAAACCAAGTATCCATCTTAGTACAGCTGTTTGTTCCCACAATAGCCAACTAGCAGGAAATCCACAAGCAAGACATGAGTGCAACAGCATTGTATAATCCAGTGATGGCAACCTTTTAGAGACTGAGTGCCCAAACTGCAACCCAAAACCCCCTTATTCATCACAAAGTGCCATCACTGCAATAAAACTTGAAAACTGAGGTTTTAGTTTAGAAAAAACAACTGACAGCCAGTCCAAGCAAATATATATATATCCTTGGCAGTGCACTGACCGTCCATGCAAAAACTCGGATGAGTTGCGACTAATGAGCTGTGGCTCGTGATGTCATCACCAGGCGCCGCTACTCCTTTCTGAGCAAGTGTATGGCCCCTATGTGTGCTGTTATCTGAAGCTCAGCTGCTGGGGCGATGCTGGGGTGACTTGGCTCTGCGTGCCTGCTGTGGCACACGTGCCATAGGTTCGCCACCACTGGTCTAATCCATGTGAACCAGCAGCTGGCTCACATAGACATTGTAGCTCTGATACTGGAGACAGCAAATAGCCGTCTGGATTACTAGCCACCGATTGTCTTATTCCCCATATTTGTCCACCCTTTTAAATTGATGGACGGCACTACATCTTGTGGAAGTGAATTCTATAGTTTAAGTATACATGGTTTCTTAACTTCACATGCCTGGATGGCCTTGAGTGTGGAAGAGGCCATCTCTTGGTGGTGGAACCACCAAGAAGGCCCTTCTTCCATTCGCTATCCTCTGCACCTCCCATGGCGATGGCACTTCAAGAAGGGTCTCTGAACCTGATGCTTAGCAGTTGGGTAGGTTCCTGTAGGCCTACAGGTACTCTGGGCCCGAGCTGTTTGGGGCTTTTTATGTCAAAACAAGCATTTTAATTTGGACCCGGACTTCAACTGGTAGCCAATGAACATAGCACAGAATTGGTTTAATGTGGGTGTACAGTCTAGTTCCCATGAGCAACTGTGCCACGTTATTTTTGAGCATTTGAAGTCTCTGGACTGTCTTCAAAAGCAGCCTCATTTAGATGAGAGGG